ATCCATGTTGAGTTGCTTCCTCTTCCTCGCCTTTTGTTTGTTTATTTAATTTTGCCTTCGACTCAGTGACACAGCTTGAAACCATCAGCAGGACTGTGTCACGTCACCTTCACACTTTTGCACAATTCAAACAAAACAGGAACTTTCTCATAAACATAAAATCCACAAATAACCTTTTTGTTAATTTCTTGATATGATGAATTCTGGTTAATTTGACTTGTGATTATTTGGTTGTGATTCATTTAGAGACATTGTTACTGAGAAATGTTTAACTTTGACGGGACTCACTGCTAAAAGATAAAAATATCTCTAGTTCCATTTATCTCGGTTGCACATATTTACCTCCTTAAACAAAAACATTTCCTGAGTTTTGTGAAGCTGCTCGTTCTTTCTCAAGCTTTCCTTCATCTCCTCTAACGTCTGATTTTATTTGTACCTTGTTCTTATAATTCCAGTTCCACTCATGAGAAGAAAAGCAGAACAAATATGATCGTTAAACAAGGACGATTCTACCTGAGACACAACACGCTGTCAGAGGACGCTCCCATCGCCATCATATTCAAGGTAACGTGATGGTCACTGGCAGAGCTGATGCGTCCAGTAGAGGGGGCTACAGGACAGCTAGATGATGTTAGATGAAGCTGTTTGTCAGGATGATGTCCCACAGGCTGTAGAATAAAGATCTGTGTTTGAAGTAATTATCTGATTCAATATCCATTTATGTTGAACTCTGCTTTACTGAATATCTGGATTATTTCACACAATATAAGTTATACATGGGTTTGCTGAGAGGTTTTGTTTGAAGTCACTGAGAAGTTGAAGATCAGCATTTTCAGTTGTTTTTCATCAGAGTTGGGTTTTTCGCTTGTTGCTCTTTGCTCTCGGTGAAAATGTCAGTGAGCCAGCTGGCATCATTAATTTCTGTCCATGTGATGACAGATCTCTTCAAACATGTCGGCCTGTGAGCGTCGAGTGTCGGGAGCTGAAGTCATTATCCACAGGACACAGTTTGCTCGCTCTGTTTGCTGTGTACTTGTATATCCTGGGTGACTTCTTCCAGATCCAGGGACAGACGGACAAGTTCCCACAGCCTCACATTTCCATAAGCAAATGTCAGAGAACCATATGACTCCCAGTTCACCCTCACTCCCTGTACTCACACACTTCTCAAGTCTCCTGGCTCACCTCCTGCTCCAGGTGCAAAACATCTGAGTGTTTCCCCTCCGCAGCTAGTTCTTATCCGGCCGCACATACTGAATATTAAAACTGTTTTTCATTTGTTTCTCTCTTATGTTGCTCTCTGTTTAGTGTCAGTGCTCACACTCTGTTTCCGTGTCATCCACACAGGGTATGGGTGTAGAGAGCGACCAGGAGATAGTGCAGATGATCGGTACAGAGGAGAACGTCATGGCCAGCTTCGCCCCGAGTCTGGAGGAGTGTCAGAAAGCTCAGATCTTCACGCAGACGCAGGTACATACTACTACTACTACATGATCCAGATCGGCTGTGAAATTAAAGGGTTGTTCCATCAGTTTACACCTCAGTTAGTTTATGAGTCACACACAGAGTCATGCTGAGCCTGGATTTACAAAGACGCTTCAGTAATTGAAACATTATGTTCAAACCATGCTTGCTTATG